TATTGAAAAATCCTAAATATAACCTAAACCTAACCTTTCATAAAAATCCACACTCTCTGATACTAAAAGAGTTCTCTTTTTAGCTTTCGGCCATCGGGCTGATATAGGGCCTCTCGGGCTCATATAGCTGCAGAACTGTAGCTCTCCGATAAAAAAAATTGACAGACCGGAGAGCTACAGTCCCATCCATAGAAAAAACTGTACATTTATTTATTGCGCACAAAAAAGAGAGCTGTTTCTCGATTTATTTCTCCGTATTTTTAAACTGCAATCTCAAAATATTACTGACCGTGTGTTCCTAACACATTTTTGCACTATTCCCACATCAAAACATTTCCTATAACCGTTGTTAGTAGCCCTCCTTGGCCTGAAATTAAGACCATCCACAATTTCGTCTGTTAATACTGTCATTTTGGGTGGCTAGACAATTCGGCCAAACGCGCTTCGTAAAGATGTCAACTACAAGAGTAGTTCATAGAGGCCTAAGGAATTTTTTGAAATCGAGTTTTTGTGCAGTTCAGGTAAGAATTTGGAGAAATGAATCCAGAACCGAGCGCAACTTTTTTGTGCGCAATAAATACATAGTTTTTTTTTTCTATGGGTGGCACTGTAGCTCTCCGGTCTGTCAATTTTTTGTTCTCGGAGAGCTACAGTTCTGCAGCTAGGGCTCATATGACATATGATATGGATTTTAGTACATGTATGTACTACTCTCTATGTTTTGAATAACTCTCAGACGACGTGATTGACGACAACTTATCTTTCTAAGTAGAATTTGTTTAATTACAAAGTTTATTTTGATAAATCTCTGAGCTGCAGTGGTTTGCGTGGGACCGAAAGTGAAGATTCATGCCTTAATACGGGGTTCCGTTAGGTCTTTGGTGTTGGAGAAAAATATGGTCAAAGGCTCTGTGAAGGTATTGTGAAATTTTAAAAAAAAGTGCATTTTTAATCATAAATGCTGTTTAAAGATTCAGGTGTCAATTACGCCTAGGTGTATATCAGTAGCAAAACAAAAAAAACAAAACAAAACAAAAAACAAAACAAAACAAAAAATAAAAAACGGCCAAAGTTGAGTGTGAATTTCCAGACATATATTATGAATCACTGTCTCGAGATTCGACAGGAGTCAGTCCCAATATCCAGCCAAGTGGAATCTCAATCCAAATATCCAGCCCACAGGTACTTGTGGACAGGACCCCCCCCCCCCCCCCGCAATTCAACCCCGAGGTTTGTTGGACATTTTTTTCACAAATTATATTTATTACACTTATTCATCATGTGTACCATACGAAAAAATCGTGAAAACCCCAAAATAATCATTCCACACAAAAATACCCCACTATACATTATAAGAGATCTTATAATGTATAGTGGGGTATTTTTGTGTGGAATGATTATTTTGGGGTTTTCACGATTTTTTCGTATGGTACACATGATGAATAAGTGTAATAAATATAATTTGTGAAAAAAATGTCCAACAAACCTCGGGGTTGAATTGCGGGGTGGGGTGGGGGGGGGGGTCCTGTCCACAAGTACCTGTGATCCAGCCATGTGGAATCTCAGACCAAGTATCCAGTCAAGTGGAATCTCAGTCTAGATATCCAGCCAAGTGGAATCTCAGTCTAGATTAAGAAGGGTCTTGATATGTAGTGGGTTAAGAAGCTAAACTATGAAAGTCCTTCAACTGACTGAAACCATGTACCAGTATTTCTTGATAGCATTGCACTGTGCAAGCCTTATTAATGCCTTTAAAAAAGATTTGCCCTGCTAAGTTTCATACACAAGAACAGTCAACTCACAACTGAATGATTTTTCAATGACATGGCAGGATCAGCAGTGACGGATCCAGGAATCTTGAAAAGGGGGGGGGGCGACCAGTTTGAGGTCGGGGTAGGGGCCTGTCCCCCTCTCTAAATCCGCCAGTGGGATAAGTGAGTAAATTAAGCACTATTTGAATACCGGTTTTTCCCCTTTTCCTATTTTTAGAAATAAAAATTTCATAGCCATTCCCTCTAAGAAGTTTAATGAAAAAGCGTTAGCAACAAAAACAATAACAAAGAATAAGAAAATCATGGGGATCTATTTATCATGGCCCATCTGTGCATAAACAACATGTATCGGATTCTTAGGTATGGTTTGACAACATGTAATATGGGTATCGGATTCTTAGGTATGGTTGGACAACATTTCATATGGGTACCGGATTCTTAGGTATGGTTGGATAACATTTAATATGGATATCGGATTCTTAGGTATGGTTGGACAACGTGTAATATGGGTATCGGATACTTAGGTATGGTTAGATAACATTTAATATGGGTACATGTATCGGATTCTTAGATTTGGTTGGACAGCATGTATCGGATTCTTGGGTATTGTTGGACAATATGTATCGGATTCCTAGGTATGGTTTGACAACATGTTTCGGGTTCTTAGGTATGGTTGGATAACATTTCATATGGGTATCGGATTCTTAGGTATAGTTGGACAACATGTAATATGGGTATCGGATTCTTAGATATGGTTGGACAACATGTATCGGATTCTTAGGTATGGTTGGACAACATGTATCGGATTCTTAGGTATTGTTTGACAATATGTATCGGATTCCTAGGTATGGTTTGACAACATGTTTCGGGTTCTTAGGTATGGTTTGACAACATGTAATATGGGTATCGGATTCTTAGATATGGTTGGACAACATGTATCGGATTCTTAGGTATGGTTGGACAACATGTATCGGATTCCTAAGTATGGTTTGACAACATGTTTCGGGTTCTTAGGTATGGTTTGACAACATGTAATATGGGTATCGGATTCTTAGGTATGGTTGGACAACATGTATCGGATTCTTAGGTATGGTTGGACAACATGTATCGGATTCTTAGGTATGATTGGACAACATGTAATATGGGTATCAGATTCTTAGGTATAGTTGGATAACATGTAATATGGGTATCGGATTCTTAGGTATAGTTTACAACATGTAATATGGGTATCGGATTCTTAGGTATGGTTGGACAACATGTAATATGGGTATCGGATTCTTAGGTATAGTTTACAACATTTAATATGGGTACTGGATTCTTAGGTATGGTTGGACAGCATTTAATATGGGTATCGGATTCTTAGATATGGTTGGACAACATGTATCGGATTCCTAGCTATGGTTGGACAACATGTAATATGTGTATCAACTTGTGATACTGGTATCGCAGAAAACCAGGTCACTTCGCTTTTAGCATTTTAACTCAACAAGAGGCCCAAGGGCCTTAACGGTCACCTGAGTATAATACAACAATTTAGAGGATCCACAGAGTATAAAATCAACTGAAAGGTGAAGCTTTGTTGCCCAAAAACAAGAAAAATTGGTGATCAGGATCAACAAAAGAATTACTCTAGAGTTCATTAACAGTTCATAAATTAGGTTCTAATCTGTTCCCCATTTATCACTATATCACCATTCATTTATTAACAAACTATTAGTGCTTCTGTACTATTTATAATTCCTTGTTGAAATTTCTTACATTGGACTCTTTTGGTCTTTTATGAACATTGAATAAGACAAGTTATTTTTGTCTCATTTTTATTTATCTTTACTTACAAGTCTACCTGATCATTAAAACTATGAAAGTACTTTTTGTATTATACGATAAAAAATCTTGCATAATTCTCTTATTCTATTAACCTTTCAAGTACATTATTTACAGTGACTAATTATCAAAAGTAAATGACAAAGGGGAATAACTCCTCTCAGTAGAATACAAATTAATAGAGCCCTGGCCAGGACCAGAACACTTGACAAAATGGTCCAGATGTTCAAAAATCTTTATTAAAACGTTTACTCTTTTTGCCTCTGATATGCCCAGGTGCAGAGAAGATTTTCAAAGAAATAATGCATTTTTTACTACAGATTCACTATATTATCAAAAGAGCCCCCCCCCCCCCGTCCCCACCGAGAAACAGAGCCTCTCACCCTGGGACCAGAAGTTTGCTCATCATACATGTAAGTCATTCTGTTTATCTGATTAACACTAAGGAGCAAACAGGATTATTTAACAGAATTAATGCATTTTCACTATATTATCAAGAGCCCCACCCTTACACCAGCACATCTGACCCAGGGGTCATGCAATTCACTACTCTGGAAGAAGCAAACATGCTCATCATAACTATACACTTAGCTTCTTTTCTTCTTAACCAGAAGCAGAAAAAAATATTTTCAAAGAAATTTTGCTTTTTCACTATATAATCAGTAGAGCCCTCCCCCCTTTTTCACCAGAGCCCTTGACCCTGGGGCCATGAATTTCACAATTTTGGAAGAGGCAATCTTGCGTATCATAACAATGTACTTAGTTTGTTTAAATAATACCCAGGGGCAGAGAAGAAGATTTTCAAAGAATTAATGAATTTTCACAATATAATCAATAGAGCCCAGCCCTAACACCAGAACCCCTGACCCTGGGGCCATCAATTTCACAATTTTGGAAGAGGCACTCTTGCTCATCAGAACTATGTATTTAGTTAGTTTATTTAATACCCAGGAGCAGAGAAGAAGATTTTCAAAGAATTAATGCATTTTCACTATATAATCAATAGAGTGACTCAGGTGACCTAAAAATCACTAAAGATCATCTAGATATCATGGTCAGTCAATGAATAAAGTTTACTGAAAAGGATTCTTACGAAACTAGTTAAAGAATAGCAGAAATTCTGGTGCCCTTTAGTTTTATAATTAAAAAACCTCTTTTGATTAGTAAATGTCAGGAACAAAATATTCAAAGCTCTGCTTTAAGTTGATGAGCATAAATTAGTGTTATTTTTACCGTTCCATGAAACTCTTCGTAAAAGATTTTCTTAAAGATTTTTTAATCAATGTCAAAGTTCGTCTTTCTTAAATTTGAATATTTTACTCTCCAAAGACATGATTGACTAAAACTTATCTTTCTAATTAAAATTTCTTTAATTACAACAAATAATGAGTTTATTTTGACACCAGTTTATATTTTTAATTATGACCCCGGGGCTGCAGTGGTTGGTGCAGGCCCACATGTCGATTGATCAAAGGTGAAGACCTCGGGTTTCGTTAGCCCTTTGGTGAAGTTGGAGAAAAATATGGTCAGTTGCTCAGGTGCTGTAAAAAGTAAAAAAATTATTTCTAATTATAACTGATATTTTAAGATTTGTGCGTGTAATTCAAATGTTGTTCATCAATGGTGAATGTAAAAAGGTATGATACTAGCAAATACAAAGTATTTTAAGAATGCTATGTTAAGAATGAAACTTGAAAAGATTAATGACCTTTTTAAGCAGTTTTCTGAATTTCATATCAATGTGACAGAATTAATATATGCTTTAACAGAAGAAAGACCTATTGACGTTTCAGCAATATTAAGTATATACAGTAAAACACGCTTATAGCGAAATGCTAGAGATGACCAATTTTGATTTGATATAAACGTTATTCGTTATTACCTTTTAAAACATGAGGATTGAAAATCACTCCGCTCCAAGCATGAATTCATTATAAGCATTTTTGCTATAACCGTGTATAATTGTATTTGTACGTTGAATATATTCTGATTTCGCTCTTATTAGTGAATTGTTTTCCACAATGAAACAAATAATGTTCAAAACATTAAAATGACCCCTTTCTTCTTTCCTTCTTTTGTTTATACGCACATCTCTTTTCTGTTCGATACCTCCTCAAAATTGTGAGAAACCAACAAACAGTCAGTATATTACTAATTGATAAGGATGTTTGTATTCTCATTGTAGCCCATCTGAATTACCTCCCCCTATGACTCCAACCAAAGATTCCATGATAGGGATACAGGAACCGTCCGCCGATAGGACAGCCTTGACACTGATACCTCCCAAGTCCAGCTGGAAAGTGTTGACTGCGATGTGGTGACCAGGAGAACCCATTAATGAAGTCCCCACGTATGTTGCATGGCCTGTTTAATAACAAAATATATTTCATTATATAGATGTTAAGATTTATCTCTACCTAGAGCTAAACTGTAAAAGTCCTTTTACGGACTGAAAGCATACACTAGTATTTCTTAGATTAACATTGCAGTGTGCAAGCCTAATCAATGCCTTAAGGTCTAATACCCCTCTGATAAGAGGGATAACTTTCGAAGATTATAAATCCAAAATATCCGGAAATCTGTTTCATCACGTGTTATTCATCCTCACAACGTCAGGGGTCCTGTGTCAACTCGTTGCCGTGGGACCCCTGACAAATCCATTTGTTTTGGGGGTTTTCTTGGGGGTGGGTGGGTAAGTTTCTTCTCTCATTGAGAAGCACCAATCAAATTGAAGTAGAATAGGTAGAATATTTTTATTTAGAAATTTAGAACAGAGGGACATTAGGCATTAAAAAAGATTTACCCTGCTGACTTTGATTCAGAAGAACAGTTAATTTACAATTGAATGAGTTGTCCTTGATGACTTGGCAGGATTAGTGAGTACAATTAAACAATGCTTGAGTTCTCTACAATCAGAAGGCTTGATTATTGAGTTGGCATGAATAGTGAGTTGGCAGGATTAATGAGTTGGCAGGATTTGTGAATTGACAGGGTTAGTGAGTAGGCAGGATAAATGAGTACAATTAAGCAATCATTATACTTGTGTTTTCCTCAATGAGTTTAAAGAGGCATGTTTAAAGAGGTGGCATGATTAGTAATTAGGCATGATTATTAATTAGGCAGGATCATTGAGTAGACACTGTTAGTGACTTGGCTTGATTAGTGAGTAAAATTAAGAAATGCTTGAATTCTCAGTGAGTGGGCAGAATATTGATTGATTGATTGATTTTATGTTGTTTTACGTCCCATTCGAGAATTTTTCACTCATATAGAGACGTCACCATATACCGGTGAAGAATTTAGGCCTTTACTCGGCACTCAGGGCCATTGAGCAGTGAGGGATCTTTATCGTACCAACGCCTGCCTTGACACGGGGCCTCGGTTTTTAAGGTCTCCTCCGAAGGACCCGCAACTTTCACTTCAACGTGCCGAGCGCTTGGCGAAGGACCAGTTGTTACCTATTTTTTATCGACTTAGGTCAGTCGCGGCCGAGATACGAACTCACGATCTTCCGATCACGGAGCGAGTGCTCTACCGACTAAGCTACCGTGACGGTTGCAGGCACGATAAGTGCGTATGCACGATTAGTGATTTGGCATGATTAGTGAGTAAGCATGATTAGTGAGTACAATTAACAATGCATAACTTCTCAATGAACACTTAGGATTAGTGGGTAGGCATGTTTAGTGACTTGCCATGATGATTAATGAGTACAGTTAAGCAATGCTTGAGTTCTCATCAGTGAGTTGGCAATGATTAAGGAGTTGGCATAATTAATGAGTACAATTAAGCAATAAACAAGTACCATTAATGTTTGAATCTGAGTTCTCCACTATGATTGGCATGTTAAGTGAGTACAGTGAACAATTTATTTCGAATTTGGTTTTTGGTAGAAGTGAATAATTTACTAGTTTGTATTCGCTATTTTTTTTATGATAGAATGAAAACAATAATATTGTGTTTTACTACTTCAGTTACAATTCACAATGTCTTTATTTACCGCATTGACTCTTTTTATTCTTTTACAGTGTGTTTGCTCACTGAATTGGCAAGAGAATTGAGAATTATTAACAGTTTATAAAGAATTTTTTTTTCAAATTAGTTATGCTTTTACTTAAAGTTGTTTTTATCTGAACACTTATCACTAAGTTCTAATTATACGTCAGTTATTTATACGTCAGTATATCGGACGATTTATTGTATTTGATTGTACTCACTAAGTTGGCAGACTAATTTATTCTAACTGAGTAAGTTTATTTATTAGTCGTGAGTACAGTAGACAGTGACTTGTACTCACTCAATTGACATGGGTCCTGAAGAGGAAAGGAGGGAGCCCCTACAGTGTAGCAAACTCCATTTGTGAAGGAGTAGGTTACGTTCTGGAAGACAAGAAAAACACTTGAAACTAAAAGATTCATTGTAGCTTAAATTCTGTTAATAGATATTTAGGAATTATTTCTATACTGAAAACAGAAAAGTGAATATGATCTGATTATTTTGATATCCTTACATTAAAGCAGACACGAGAGTTCTTTTTATTCTCTTTGTAATATTTTAAAATAATAAAATATTTTTTATTAGCCAGATATACTATTGATATTGTATTTACCGCTTTATAATCGTTGACTACTTTATAGGGATACGTCCCAGTCGGTAAGGTGACGGTTCCCTCCACGTATGTTCTTTTGTTGGTGTAGTCAAATTGGAGAAAAATCTGTTGCTGTTAAATTGGAACAAATATGTGTAATTAAAAAAAACTTCTACATGGAAATCACAAGATAGAGCCGCTTTCATTGGTTTATAAATGTACAATATCAAGAGCTAAAATAATTTGAAGGGACATTGAATTCAAATTCGATACTCTGTATGCTTTATAATTAATCTTTTTATTAAAGTTATTATAGAACAATCTATCTTCAAAGAAAGATTTGCACTAGTAATAGAATATTCCCATATCCTTTGATGAGGTAAATTTCGGAGCGTAACAAAGATTTGATTAATCAGATTGATACTAGATGCACTTAAATTACATGATGAATTGACATATAACAGTTATACTTACATCAATAAATTTACTTCCCGTGGTACCAGGCGCGACCTGTCCTCCTGTTTCATCAATACTGGTAGAGAACTGATCACCTATACAGCAAGGGGTAGGAGTAGACGCCCTGCCGAACACCACCGGGAGAACAGAAATCAACAGAAAAGCTGGATGCATCGTAACAGGAGATGTCTGAAATAAAATAGATCAAAATAAAGCCCAATTGACGAAGACTGAGATAAAAGGAGCTAGATAAGAAAGTTCACTCCCTGTCTGCGTAATACTGGAAAAAGACCAAACTCATGTGATATTGCTATTTCTGAGGTCAATATAACAATTTAGCTACTCGAAGAGGTCATTATTCACTTCGTCTCTCATGCTTTCTGCTTAAACTTCAGTATACTTTAATCACGTAAAAAGATGTAAAGGTTTTGCAAACTGAGTTGTATTGCACGTATTTAAGTAATTCATATAATATCCTCTGAGTTAGCAAGAGAAATGGGTACAATTAACCAATGAACTAGTTCTTCTGATTTGTTGGTACAATTAACAAATGAATGAGTTGTTTTCAATGAACTGGTATGATGAAAAATAAAGTTAGTACCAAAATGAACTGGATTGGAAACTAGAGTCTACTGCATTAATTTTTTAAAATCAATTTAAGCTGTGGTTGAACGCAATAGATATATATATATATATATATATATATATATATATATATATATATATATATATATATATATATATATATATATATATATATATATATATATATATATATAACGTGTATTGGTAACGATCCTCTAATAAAACTAATGTCCAAATAAAGTTTTTTGACTTGCCTAGATAGCCGAGCGGTCTAACGCGCTGTTCCTGTACTGCTAGGAGACAGATTCCGTAGGTCGAGAGTTCAACCCCGGGCTGGGGTATACTTATAAAAGTGAATTTCTTTGTGCTTTCTATATTAGTATTTCTTCACTTAGGGCAGTTATGTTAGTTTAAGAGTTGTAAATTGTGCTTTATGAATAAAATTAATTTCATTACAACGTGCATTGGTAACGATCCTCTAATAAAACTAATGTCCAAATAACTGTATCTCACTTCTATTCTCAATGACCGTGTAGTGTAGGGCAGCTCTGTGAGAATTCCATCGGCATCGAAAGCAAGTTTTTTGACTTGCCTAGATAGCCGAGCGGTCTAACGTGCTGTTCCTGTACTGCTAGGAGACAGATTCCGTAGGTCGAGAGTTCAACCCCGGGTTGGGGCGGAAGTGGGTATCCTTATAAAAGTGAATTCCTTTGTGCTTTCTATATATATATATATATATATATATATATATAGTTTTGGAGATACTTAAATTTGCGTTATGTTTGTAAAACATGAATTTCTGTTGTCTGTTTTTAAGCATGATGAGGCAGGTAATACTAGCTAACTAAGGATTATCAGTGTCATCATGGTTTATGCTGGCTAATTTGATCAAGAAACAGAAGTCAAAATGTCCGTCACACTTATTAACTATTTACTGAGAAGCCATCACTTTTATGGTGTAATCTTACAGAACATGTAATTTTTTTTTTAGACAGTTTGATATGTGTCATCAACTTAAACGTATTAAAATGCATCTTCTGTCAAATTTAGTCCCGTAAGGTATGCTGAAATTGTTGGCATTTTAATCATTAGATTTCTTTGGAAAAATGATGAGCGTGAAAGCAAAATTTCATATCAGAGGAACAATGAACCGTAGAGAATTAGGTAGGGCACACAATAAGCATTGGTTAGTGCTTGGTTGAAGGTCTTTGTACGAAACTCCCATTTTAAGAAGAAATGATAGAGAGAGAGAACATGTTATGCCAACGTGCACTTTAACATAATTCTATATAACAATGTCTTATCTTCTGGAAATTTTGTGTTGCAATAGAAGTACTTTGTGCTGACTATACTGTTAATAATAAAACAAGTACATATAGACCTAACATTTCGACCGTATTTTTCAGCCGTTCTATCGTCTCCTGATAAGGCCTGTCGGACTTCTTATAGAACTATCAAAGAACTATTAAACACATATAATAGACATGGTCAGACAGATTCTTCTTGTGTTGTCCGTGGTCGGCGCCACCCTCGCCGCTGACCCCACCCCCTGTTGCGTCCATCATCAATTCACGGCTGATTTGCTGGAAGTTGGAGGAAAAATAGACCCCAAGACAGGAGCACCTGAACCAATCACTGTAAGTAGTGAACAAATGCAAATTACATGTACCAATTCCTGAAAATGTAACGAGGCTGAACTGTTTACTGAAAGTGTACTCAGGTTGATCCAATTACTGAAAGTACAATTAATTTGAACCAAACATCATAATCACTGAAATATCAACGTGAACAAATCACCGAGAACACAGCAATCACCGTAAATATGGCTGATCAAGAAAATTCGTAGTAATTGTAGGTACTTCATAGTAATAACATAAATTTAGCATTGACAGTCAAGAGATTGATTGAATTAATATGTTTAAGATGATCTCAAGTCTGACAGTTACGATATACTGTAAAACCTGCCTATAAGGAAGTCCTTGATGTTTTAGGTCCAAATAACCGAGATTCCTTTTAATCCTCACAAGAGAGTGATGGGAAACTTACCTAACTTCCTGACAACCGTCATTTACTTATATCCCAGTTCCTTATAAGTTTAATTTATTGTTCTTTGAAAGTTTTCAAAGAATTTTGATGGTTTCCTTTCTCTCTTTTTAATTCTATCACTAAACTAATGAAGTATTGCTTATTATTTAATATTTTTTTTTACTTTGCCAAACCTTTTTTAACATTCTTTCAAAATGCCTGTATCCTGCACAAACTCTGCTTTAACCAGCTTTACTCTCATCATCGAATAACACTGAGAAGATATATGTAAGTCATGAAACTACATGTATGTTAATAGTTGACTGTTATTTTTCAGATTCAGTCCAAGCTATACTATGATTATGACGCCAAAAAACAGCGAGTGGACAGAGTGGTTGAGAATGATGACGGAACAACATACAACCTAACAGTTTACGTCGACTATAAAGAGGTCAGTCTTCTCCTACTAATATAAAAAACCCCGACACACTATAAAAATAACTACCGTCTACATTCACTTATAAACGGTCTGTATTGCAACCTGACACACTAAAGTCGACCATAAAAAGACAATTGAAGAACCCTACTGTCTACGTGCATTTATAAAAGAAACTAACACACTATAAGTCGACTAAAAAACAGACAATTGAAGAACCCTACTGTCTATGTGCATTAATAAACAACCTGACATACTATAAGTCGACTATAAAACAGACAATCGAAAAACCCTATGCTACATTCATTAATAAACAACCTGACATAGTGTGAGTCGACTATAAAACAGACAGCAGAACAAATCTACCTTCTACATCCACTAACAATGAAAAAGATAAAGATAACAAACAGCGATCGATCTAAAATAATCTACAAACAATACAAAGCTGTGAACAGGGCATAAAACACGCACCTCTGGATATTCTAGAGGTTGGATCAGGTGCCTAGGAGGAGTAAGCATCCCCTGTCGACCAGTCATGAGCACTATGTATTGATCAGATAGACGGAACATTTCATTCAAATTTAGTATAAAAACAAAGGCCTAAAATAGGTATGAAACATGTCAGTCAAAGTACCGTAACGGCTCAATGATAATTTATAATTGTTAACAAGCTCATTATGATGACAATAGAATTTACAGAAAGCTGACTTTAAAAAACTTATCTGTCACTAGATGCCTCTTGAGTATCGAAATAAGTTGGGAGACGTAAAGACCTTATGCAGGTGATAGCAGAATATTACTACATAAATAAGGAAAGTTGACGACGGAAAAGCTGAAGTCATCTCTTTTGTCATACAATTTAGTTGTTAAGTGACCCTTATCCTCTGTAGTCAGTAAAACATCCAAATATGAAACAGATGTGGTAGACTCTGTGGTGTCTTTTATTTCAATTTCACTGGGATATATCGAGTCGAGATTTCTACACCTAAGATTTTTAGTCTGAGGTTTATATTAAAAGGATGCTAAGTTCCTCATTGACAACATCTATGTAGTGTTTGGAGACCAGGTCTTCCAACAATTTCTTTGGATTTCGATGGTCACCAATTGTGCTCATTTGTTAGCCGACCTGTTTTAATATTCCTAGGAAGTAGAATTTATTCAAAAATTTATATATGAGAAGAAGAAAACACTTGCTGTGGATTTCAACGTGACTCCAGGTACATCGACGACATTATATTTTAACAATTAACAAGAGTTACTTTCATTCATATGTCGATAAGTGAGCTCAAAATAAAAGACACCAAAGAGTCTACCACATCTGTTTGAAATTTAGATGTTTTACTCACTTAAGACGATAAGGGCCAACTAATAACTACACTGTAAAATACTTTCGATCTTCCGGTCCCTTGAACCAAACTGTTTTCCTTTGGTCTAACGGCCCCCGGCATACAGTTAAGATCTTGGGATGACTTCAGCTTTTCCATCGTCAACTTTACTTATTTATGTAGTAATATTCATCTGTATATGGTGTCCCCCAACTTATTCGATACTTAAGAGCATATGCATGCTCTGAGACGATCAATTTTTAAATCGAAGCAGGCTACTGACAAAGGAGTTGATGTTACAGGGATTTCAACAACCTCATTTAGGATCAGCATTTAATCCTAAATTAGTCACCTTTTTAACCACTACAACCCATCACTGGGTCGTATTTTGACTGACATATTTCATACCGATTGTTCGGCCTTTTTTAAATACTAAATTTGACTACGTATTACTCCGTCTACTCGACAATACATAGGGCTCACGGCGGGTGTGAGCGGTTGACAGGGGATGTTTACTCCTCCTAGGCACCTGATCTCACCGCTTGAAGTTCAAGGGGTCTGTGTTTTATGCCCTGTTCACAGATTTGTAGTGTTTGTACGTTTTTTGAGATCGATCATTGTTCGTTGTGTTCAGCCATTTCATTCCTTCAATTATGGGCATTGGACTAAGATGGGCTTACTTTATGATCAATGTGTGCAGTGGAGCAAAATAACCAGGGGGGTAGATAACTCTATATACAACTGTTTAATGAATACTTAAGAGAGTTTTGAAGGATAAATTTGAAGCGAGAGAGAGAAAAAAGAAAAAAAGATTGATTAAATGTGTTCATTTGTTCCTTCATTCTCTTTTGAGTTATATTTGGTTGAAAAGCTTAAAACAACTTTAAAAGATTTTGAATTTTATAAACTAGAAAAATGCACGTAAACTCTTTGGAGAAAATAATGCATATCAAAATTTTCTCTTGCAGCAACTGGCACGCTCACTTGTCTCAGGAACATGTTATGTAACTCACCTCCACAATCAACCGATGCAAGAACCCTGTGTACCTGGTAAAACCATCACGTCTTGCTGTATAATTGTTAATTTTCTTATACTTAAAAAAAGTACATCTCATAAAATGAGTATTTTTTGATGCATGTTGATAGCGACATCTTCATTCGTGGAGTCCCGTATTCTGGGACCGGCTAGTAATGGCATCAGGGTTAATTCATTCGTCGCCGACCTTACAAAGGCCGCCAACACCACCATGAAGATCTCTGTCACAGAAGACGACTGTACCCCTATCTCGGCGTCATCATATGGCGTCATTGAGGGAGGTAATGTCATCTCCTATGGAACTGATATGAATGTCGATCAAGAGAGTAAATTCTGAGTTAAGAAATGCAAAAATAAATTTTATGTTTATTATCCACAAGCAAGTTTTACAACTGATGATGTACTAGCTAGTCTATTTTAACACATGAACACTGTCTTTGATTTCTGTTCCTTTTTTTTTCATTTTCAGCTATTGAGGAAATCACATATTTCTTCACAAATCTAGATTACAGTTTACCTCATCACGTGTTCCACATTCCCGCTGCCTGTCACGGCGTTCACGTAAGTTTACCACGTCACGTGTCCCACCTTTCTTCCGTCGGTCAAAGTGTTCACGTTAGTCTACAAGATACCTATTCCACCTTCCTTCTGCTTGTCACGGTATTCAAGTTGCCCCATATTCCCTTTGCCTGTCCCGATGTTCACGGTATTCACGTTTGTTTACAACATCCCGGGTCCCACCTTCCTTCTGCCTATCACGGTGTTCACATAAGTTCATAATATACGTGTCCCACATTCCCTCTGCCTGTCAGGATTTCACGGTGTCCACGTTTGTTTACATCACATACCCCACTTTCCCTCCGCCTGTCACGGTGTTCACGTAAGTTTACCACATCACGTGCCCCACTTTCCCCCCGCCTGTCACGGTGTTCTCGTAAGTTTACCACATCACGTGTCCCACTTTCCCGCCTGTCATGGTGTTCACGTAATTTTACCTCATCACGTGCCCCACAAACTATGTTCACGTAAGTTTACCTCATCTCAATTCGATACATGTATATTACTCAAATCAAATAGTAACTGGTACAAGAAGAAAACACATTTAGACTTAGAGGCCAAGAATTACGTACGGGTATTACTGTCTTATGAAAACATTACTTTTTCTTGTTTTTTTTTTTAAATAACGGCTCTTTCTAAAGAAAGTTCGGGTATATTGATAATTTCTCGGTCCATCCGTCAGTCTGTCTGACACACTATCTTTTCAAATCCTCTTACATTTCAAACAGTAGCCAATTCATCCTTTGGAATATGACTGATGGTGTCCTGTATATGTGCAAAAGAGTTTTGGTCGTTTTCTTTTTTTTTTATCCTGGGGGCCAATTAGGGGTTGAAAAACGACATTTTTATTCAAAAGTCTGTGTTCATGAACTCCTCTTACATTGTATGCAGTAATTAAATTATCTTTTGGTATATGATTGGTGTCTTGTACATACGCAATTTTTTTTCCCAAAGGAGATGGGTGAACAAGGCGTGCAAAATTTCTATAGCTTCAAAGGTACAAAATCATATTCAATTTGTGAATTTAGTATTTGATATCATTGAAAGGTATGACATTATGTCAAACTTTTCTGCGGAAAATTCTTTCGGCAAAAATCATTCTATGATTTTAAAAAAAAATGCTGTATTCTTGAAATTCGAACCCAAGCAATAAAAATTCTGAATATTAATTTTCCCTTCGAGACTAACACGCTGACCATTATTGTATATTGCTCTAACATACGTCTGCATTTAAATATTGTTTGTAAATTTTGATATGACCCGGTCTTGACTAAATGGACATAAATTTTTCTCGAAAAGATACGAATGTTATGTCATAAAAGTGCATTTTTACGATATAGTGGGTCTTTGCTCCATGTTTTTGTTGACTCTAAAGAATGTATATTTTTACGCATACTTTGAGTATAATATTTCAAAAAAATGGAGCGAAGACACACTCATATGGAAAAATTGTGGTTTAGAATGAAGATTTGATAATTTTTGCCCTCTTTGGTGTATGTATGCTATTTCATACACGAATAATCTATATGATCTTGTTGTGATTTGTGGAGATTTTACTTAAAATAAACGTAATGTTAAATAAAATATCAAAGAAAATTTTGTAATAATTGAGATTTAATTTTTCACTTTCTTATTTGTCGAACGATAGGCATTTTGCTTGTCTTGTTCGCCCATCTTCTTTCAATTTCATCCAAGAAGCCAGTTGAGTGCAACAACCTTTTTTCTACCTTTTTTTGGTTCCCAAGACTTACATTTTACACAGTATCCAGATTATTTTTTTGAATACAACTTGGGAGAGTCCAGTAGATGTGCAATAAAGTTAAAAATTTTCATCAAGATCTGACGACACGTTCCTCAAATATCTGTTTTGTTTCTCTTCGTAATATTTTAAAAAAAAATATTCATAATTAACATTATCTTGTTTTCTTAACTGTTTTCAAAATGTCTTGGAAAATAAATGCAACAAAAATTATGATATTTACAATTCAAGTGATTTCAAATATTAAGGATTATTCAAGGAAATATTCAAGGATTATATAGGAAACACTTCCCTCTGGTATCTAACATAAATCCTTGGTAAGGTACCTCAATTTTCTGTGAGGAAACTTGTTAAATTTGCAGTACTTCAACGACAAATTCTTGGGAAAAATTATATATTAGAGAGGTTGAGATTCCATACTTGTACGTGTACGGGTACGTCTAGTAGGGGAATTCCCTAAATTTCTTGCGTATTACGTCATCAGTTTTGGTGTTGATAAGTTTTCTACACGTTCCTACAACTTGTAAAAATTAAGGCATCTACACGTAGGTGTAAACTTGTAGCTTTTTCAGTAAAAACTAGTCAATTTATGTGTGAAACTGTTATTGTTGTTAATCATTTAGGATGTTGAGTTTCATGAACACTTATTTTAACCATGTTTTGCCCACTAACTAAAGTCAAACTAATTTCACGTAACTACAAAATAGTTGAAACAGAGACACCGATTACAGTCTACACGTTCATGTTATGCGTCATTAAATCTCAACAGACAAATTACAAAAATCGTGTACGTGTACAAAACTTTATTTCCAGAACTCTGACATATTACTACGGAAGCCCATTTAGGACCAATCAAAAATATTTTTGAATTTCGATATAACGAATTGTAGAATTTGTTAGAACGAATTTAATTCGTTATAATATTTTTTTTTTTTACTTCGTAATAACGAATTAAATTTATTATAACAGATTTGTTGAATTTGTTATAACAAGTTTAAAAATTTGTTAAAACGGATTAAATTTGTTTAAACGAATTCTAAAATTTGTTATAACAAATTAAATTCGTTTAAACAAATTTTAAAATCTGTTATTACGGATTAAATTCGTTAAATCAAGTTAAAGAATTAGGAGTTATAGAAAAATAAGTATGAATTCGATATAACAAATTGTCGAATTCGTTTAAATGAATCTAATTCGTTATAACAAAATAAAGAATTCGTTTCAACGAATTTAATTCGTTATAACAAATTTTAGAATACGTTAAAACGAATTGAAATCATTATAACAAATTTTTGAATTCGTTTTAACGAATTAAAAGAAATTGATATAACAAATTAAATTCGTTGTAAAAAAAAAAAAAAAAAAAAAAAAAAAAAAAAAAAAAAAAAAAAAAAAAAAATTCGACAATTCGTTTTATCGAATTCAATTTTTTTTTTATAGGTCCTAAATGTCTTCAATATATTTCTCAGTCGCTTTACAAAAACCTTCTTACAAAACTCCTTTTAAAATAAAATTTATGCTTCATTAAATTCTCTTAATTCAGACTGGAAATGGAATTCATTATATCAAATTCAAATATAAAAGCCCACGAACAACTGCATACATGAGCATTTTATGCTCAATTTGACACATTTCTGTAAATTATAGAATAATTATTGTGGCTTTTGCGATAGTTACCCAGGTAAGAAGGAGAGTAAATTTAGAGGCAAACACTAGTGTGGGTATAACTGTCTTATGATAGAATCTATAATGGGGGAGGGTGGGGGTGCTGCGAAGGAGTTCGGCCTTTCAATAACAAAATTAATTCAAAGTCAAGAACCAAAGGTCATTGCCAGAGTAATAGACATAACTATAAAGAAAATGTGGGAGTACATTCTCTCTAGGTTTTCTTTTTTCATTCGAGTGTTTGTAAAAGTTGACATTATTAAATATGTGTAAAACCAAGTAAGAAATGTTGCGAGAAAAACATACCAGGTATGTTCTGAAGTATATTTAACAAGTAAGAAATGTTGCATTAGAGACACATATTAACTAATGTAATTTAACAAAGCAATGTTGCTTGAGAGGCGCATATATTATATGAGGATCTGATTCCATATATTTTTTCTTTATAGGGTCCTCCAGTTGGTCGTGACCTCAAACTGCCATATTTTCTCCAAAGATCTTTGAATCTTCAATAACTTTATCTGTTACTTGATTTTATTCTTGTTTTTCAATATTTTAAATATTGAAGTAAAATAAATTCTAGAATTCTTAAACACATAGTGATTCTTTATATTGAAAATGGGTTTAATTTGTGACTTTAAATTCAAACTATACTAAACCTCTTTCAGTGGCTTAAACAAAATTTGAGAGCTATTGGACATGTTAAAAGAATCTGTGTAGCATTTATTGTATATGTATTTATTGTATATGAGAGAGAGAGAGAGAGAGAGAGAGAGAGAGAGAGAAAGAGATTAAAATGTAGTAAGGGAACCATCAAGGCGACTGACATATTTCATGAGATAAAACGTAAATGTCAAGAGCAAAAATATGAGAACTAAAAAACTATCATCATGTACTCAAGCAGACATGACTATCCACGGCGACCCTTACAATGTGCAGTATGAGAGACACGCCCTAGTATGGACATGATAAAATAAATTATGACCCCAAGATAAAAGGCCATAATCAAGGGAGAACCGTCTAAAACTAATAATGGTAAAACCACTGTGTCAATTTCAATGACGTGCAAAAGAAGAGCTTAAGTATAAATTAAACACAGTTTGATTTAAATTTTTATCCCGTTAACATTTTACATTGGATAATAAATGGGATTCTTCTCTTCTCCATTTAATTTCACCCACACGCTCGCTTATTTAGTTGTAAATAACTTTAAAGACCCCGCTGTTTGATAAAACTTCCATAACATTGTCCCAAGAATTAAAGCCCCTCATCGCGGTAGTCCGCCAGATTTATAGTCGAGATCGCTGCCACTTAAATGTCCCCAAATTCCACCGGAATATTTTCAGTCGCGGACACACGCGGTGCACGCTGAGACTGATAACTGAAATTCCAAAACAAATTGTCATTTATGGCATGTATACTCGCGAACCTTGGTAAACATCGACACATCTAGGGCCACTGAGATGTAATAATTATGGGATCTGCCTCATCCAAACGAATACATCCCTCCCACACGGGTTTGAATGGGGATTGCCCAAGGGCTGAGTTGGAGGATAAGTTTGCCAATGTAGATGATCATGCGAGAAAGGTAAGACCAATACTGATTTTTTTTTTTCAGTAAATATGCTGAAAATAAATTACAAAAAAGTACTACGAAAGAAATCTCCAGTCTTGAAAGAAAATCCAAGAGTCTAAATTGAAAGAATGTGGATAATTAACTTTAAAATCGAAAGGTGGCTATTTTGACACACTCTTGTCAGAAAATAATGCCCTCAAACTATTAATCTGATAATCCAAGATTAATGTCTTTTCAGACCGTTTGAAGTGACTTATTAATGCAATTAGGTTTAATTTTTCCGTAATGTGTTTAATCCCAAATGATCTGATGTTATTGTGTTGTTAATTACTACTTGAAATTCATTAACAGGCGCCTAAAACGTTGATGATGTCAGATAATGACCTCGCTGCCTATCTATGTGAAGGGACAAGTGATGACGTAAACAAAATACGGGCATTTTATATGTGGATTGTCACCAACAAAGCGTAAATATTTCTTATATTGATTTTTACCTGAAATTCTCTCAAATTCTAATATTTATATTTAAATGACAGAGAACCTGTGAAATTTATTTTGTATTGCTTATCTTTTTAAAGTCAGTTACAAGCGCTTTCAAAAGATGAGAAAACACAGCACGAGGTTCTAACAAAGAGGTTCGATTCACTCACTAGGTAAATACGTTGTACACATACTGAATATTGTCCACTGTACACTGTAGTGTGTCATCTAGATTGAAAATTTGGGTAAAATACATACATTTTGCCTTGATAGATATCCCATCAGAATTAATTTTTCTCTATAGGATTGCTGATATAGAGTCAAAAATAGTCAAGGGTCTCTACAAAGCTCCCACGGATCAGCTTAACGCAAATACTAATATCCACGGAGACCACAGCTGGAACGTCGTCAATTTGGCGGGAAAATGGCACGTGGTTGACTGTCAGTGTGGCTCCAGTGATATTCTCTTAGAATCATTTTATTTCCTACCTGATCCACAGCAATTCATCAGCAATCATTTTCCACTTGATATCGACCGGTCTTGGCAGTTATTAACAGAGCCTATTTCACTTGAGGATTTCAACCAAGCACCTGTTGTATCCGAGACTGCTATAGCGCGTGGTGTTCGAGTAGTGTTTCCAAAAACCCGAATCGTAAACGTTCGCCATTCTTTTCATGTTTCTGTGGATGACACACAAGCCGTGTTATCAGATTTTGCCGCTGTCTTAAGTTCAGAAGATGGTCTCGCACATAATGAATTCGTTCTCATCTCTAGATGTGGATCCCACTCTTATTTTGTGAACATCAGACCCCCGTTTGTCGGTAACTTCCGCCTGACAATTCTCGGTAAACTTTCAAGCACAAGAATGGAAGCAATCACCGAGTTCCTTGTCACGTGTTCCTCCGTAAAGAAGCACCTGCGTAAATTTCCAAAGGAATACCAAACATGGGGAATCGAACCCAGATTTCCAGAATTCACTGGCGAAATGTGTACCATTCCACCGGCCTTACAGGAAGTGAAAGATGGGAGTTTGGATTTGTCTATATCCACAAGGACAATGCTTGATGTGTACGCCTCCCTGAGATGGCTGGAGGATGGGAGGAACTTTGATGACTACATGGGAACAGACAGCAGTCTCTCTGAGATCAAGCTCAAGTCACTTCTGCCAAAGAAAGGATTTTACCGTGTTTGCTTATACCTTCGAAGAGGAGATGTTTTGTATCCAGTGCTCTACCTACTTTTGGAAAACAAAAAAGGAGTACAGTCGACACCTCCCCATCTCAGTGAAATCAATAAAGATATTCTTATTTAGATGTTCCTCCAGATTAAAAAAATTTTAAGATACCTCGTCATTGGATATATCGAAACTGATACGGTGGCCGATATTGACTGTATTCGTTTTTGGACATTCTCTTTAAAGTACTAGCTACATTGCAATAAAATGCAGACGTTTCTATTGATCCCTATTGTAATTCTATTGTAATTCGTCAATTTTTAAAGTTTTCATGCTTTAACTTTATATTATCCATTATGATTCAGTACTCTTTTCAGTCATTTGGCACAGGGGCTTAGATGAGCTATTCCATAGCGAAGTCTGTCAGTGTACGTCTGTATATCTGTTTTCACATTGTATAACTCTAACTCGAGCCACTAGGTCAATGTCAACTAAACTTGACGTAAAACTTCACTGGATCGGAATTGGTTTCTCGGAAGACGTTGACCTTTCATGCGATGATAACTAAAAAAGAGGGAGAATATAAGACGAGATATTAAAGAAATTTCTTAACCCATTTAGCAAGAATGAAATAGGAGATAACGAACAGTATTCAAGCTCAAAAGTCCATTCAAATAATACAAATCAGAAACAGAGCAAACATGGACCTCAAAAACATCAGAAGTGGGATCAGGTGCCATGGAGGAGTAAGCATGGGATCACACCCGCCATGTGCTCATTCTCATGATCGTGAAAAGAGGCCCATGGGCCACAACGCTCACCTGAGTAACTTTGGCCCTGCTGTTTTTCACCAGATTTTCCCCCGTAGTACGTATTGTGGTCCCACCCTACCCCCGGGATCTTGATTTGAACAATTTAGAATTAAGACTACGCCAGGAGGCTTCCATATAAGTTTCAGCTTTTTTGGTTGTGTGGTTCTTGAGAAGAAGATTTTTAAAGATTTTTTCCTATATATTTCAATGTAAACCTTTAATTTCCCATTGTGGCCCTACCATGCCCCTGGGGGTCATGATTTGAATAATTTAGAATCTACACTACCCCAGGAGGATTACATATAAGTTTCAGCTTTATTGGCGCAGTAGTTCTTGAGAAGAAGATTTTTAAAGATTTTTTTCTATATATTTCAATGTTTTTCAGGTGAGCTAAAAACGAAAAACCCGTAGATAATTCGGTGTGTAAATAATGGCCTGACAATTACTATGAAAAATTTTCAGCATTTGACTTAATGATTAGATTATATTTGCTGACAAGGTCATTGTATCGACCATAGAGTTTGCGAAATTATGATTTTAAACGAGACTGTTGATGTTTTTGTTTCATCATCTTGTTTGTCAATGGATTACCTCGTTTTAGAAATTGTTCGTACGTAGAGCATGTTCTTGTGTATCGAATCAACTGAAAGACATGCGTAAACCCCATATGCAGGTGATATGGGTATATTGCTACATAAGTAAGGGAAGTTGACGATGGAAAAGTTGGTTGTTAGGTTACCATTAACGTCTTTTTCTAGTAAAATATCTAAATATGATACAGATGTGTCAGACTCTGTGGTATCTTTTATTTCAAGCTCACTGGGATATATGGAGTCGACATTTGAATGGACGTAACTAATGTTAATTGATTATACGTCGTGGATATATCTAAATGTAGAGTTGAAGACCACAACAAGTGTTTTTTTCTTCCCATGTATAAGATTTTGAATACATTCTACTTCATATGAATACAAAAATAGGCCTGCTAGAGCGCAATTGGTACCCATGGGAATTCCGACAGATTGATGGAAGACCTTGCCTCAAGACCATAAATTGAGAACAGAACTTGAGTAAAAATTTTGATTTTGAATATCTGTGTTTTATTTAACATACGTACTTAAAAATTTGCAGGTTTGTATAATATTCCAATTTAAACATATGATGAAAATTTTGTTTCATTATCAAAACTATTTCAAAAGTTGTATTGATTTGAAATTTTGACCTAAGTATGTTCTCAGTTTATGGTCTTGGGGCCTGGTCTCCAAAAACTACATAGATATTGTCAATAAAAAAAATCAAGCATCTTTTTAATATCGATTTCAGAGTACTTGTGTACAATCACAATGTTTTTTTTAACAAAATAATGTTGCAAATGTCCAATAAAAAGATAAAGTAATTTACGAGTTCCATTTTTTATTGAAAAAAAAAATCATTGTGAAAACTCAAAGGTTCTTCAAGATATCGCCCGGAAACGAAAGTGTTCCACACAGACAGAAGGTATGAATTTATTACCTTGACCTTTTGACATCGAAATCAAAAGGCGTCTTATTTAGGCCATAGGGAGTTGTGATGATGTAAAATTTCATTGAAAAAGCTCAAAGGCTCTACTAGGTATCGTCTGAAGACGAAAATATTACACACAGACAGAATGACAGATGAACGGACCCAAATTAAAATTCCCACTTTCAGTAAAAGCGAGGTACAAAAAAGATAAAAGCTGGCAAGACTTCATCTTTAAGTAAAATTGTGGGTTTTTTTTTTCTATCGTGGTCTGTCAACTTTCACTTGTATATACATGTACGCCTTCTAAAGGAAGTTGAGACCTATTGATAGATGTCTTCTTGTGCGAAGAGAATTACAATTGTTCAAATTACGTTATATATTGATGCTGTTACACGTTTTTCAGTGAAATAAAACCCTTGTGAATTTATTTAGAATCCATTTCCAGAATAGGAAGGAGATTGTGTGGTGTAGTGTAGACTCAGATTAATTCCATTGTTTTCCGTGGATCAATGGTTGTGTTGTCATAAGGATACAAATTCATAGAGCACACATAGACACGATTTTGTTAAATTAATTGTTATGTTAATTTCCTCCAGAACTTTAAACCATCAGAGCAAAGAATGAAATTTTACAAATATAAAAGGAAGGGGGAAAAAAAATAAATTCCAGGTTTCTTTGTAAAGTTATGCAATCATAACTAATACCAGGCCACAGTGAAAGAATTAATTTTTTGGTTAGAGCAATAATTTTCATTTTAGCGTTTTGGTCCAAAGATCTCTTCATTAATATTAATTGTATAAAAACGATATGATGATTCATTGATAAATACTGTACACAGCAACAAACTCAATTAACATTCGAGCTGTCACCAAGTGGGCGTTGAAGATTGTTATTGCCTATAGTGCCATACATAAGGTGTTATCGAGAACAACTGTTGTACCACATAGGAATACTTAGTTGTCATACTCAATATGGTCGTGGAAAGAAAGAGAATAAGATTTATTGTAAAGGGAGAAAGATCATATTATAAAAGTTTCTTTCTGTTTACTTGAAAGTAATCCTACGTATAAGTAAATATTTGATATATATATATATATATATATATATATATATATATATATATATATATATATATATATATATATATATATATATATATATATATGTGCGTGTGTGTGTGTGAGGGAGGGTGTGTGTGAGAGAGAGTGTGTCTGTGTGTGTTTTTTAGAATAGATATTGGGAGTTCAGTTAAGTACATAATTGTAGTGTTTGAAGGGAGTCTCAACTTGTCAAGCGGAAGCCCAGACTTCCTCTTAACAAGTGCACGCGCCCTGACGAAATACAACCCCAAACCCTGGGGCGATAAATTTCACAAATTTGGAAGAGGCATTTCTTGCTCATCATAACCATGCACTTAGTTTATATAAATAATACCCAGGTGCAGAGAATATGATTTTCAAATAATTAATGCATTTTCACTATACACCGGTAATCAACAGAGCCCCGCCCTAACACAGAACTCCTAACCCATATGATTCATGCAATAGTGTTTCGGTCATTTGGCTCAAGGTTCCAACAAGCTATTCTACCAAGGTGTGTGTATGGTACTGTAATTATAACTTTTCCCTAACAAGAACCACTGGGTCAATTTCAACGTGACTCGATAGACGTAAAACTTCACTGGATCGGAACCATTTTTTCTAAAAAGATCTTGTCTTTTCATGAGGAGATAACGAAGATTGGGGGGGAGTGTAGATAAGCAAAATGTCTTGCCCACTGAGCTAGAAATGACCTAGCAAATCATTCTTACCTACCTGAAGTTTAGATTATTTAAATTATGGACAGTAAGCTTATGATGTGGTTACTTTGTTTGCAATGTAGCAAAATAATCAGGGGTAGATAACTCCATCAACAAATGTGTAACGATCCTATTGGTCCTTTGGATGAGACCGTATACATCGAGGTTCCGTATAGCAGTAGATGCTGGGACGAAAAAGTCCCCTCACTGCATAAAAGGCCTTAAGTGCCGAGTGAAGGTTTAAATCATTAAGTGGCAGCGTCTCAATATGAGTGAAAAATTCTCATATAGAGACATTACCATATATCGGTGAAGGGCTTCAAATTTAGACCTATACTCGGCACTCAGGGCCATTGAACAGTGAGGGTTCTTTATCGTGCCAACGCCTACCATGACACGGGGCCTCGGTTTTTAAGGTATCGTCCGAAAGACCCATTAGTTGTACTTCTAATGCCGTACGCTTGGCGAAGGGACAGCCACTACCTACATGTATGTTTACGACTTAGGTCTTGACGCGGCGCGGCGAACCGGAATCAAAACCAGGCCTATCACTAGGCTACCGTGACCGGTTAAATGTGGAATGAATACTTCAAAGTTCCAAAAGTCAACATAGCGGATAAATTTGAAGCGAGAGAGCGAGAAAGTTGACAAACTGTGTTCATTTGTTCCTTCTTTTTGATTAATACCAGATGAAACCAGCGTGGAATTGAATTTTAAGACTGATGGCAAAACAATTCCAGTAATATAACTTATAGTTTTTACTGACAGTTAATTACAATCTTATAGCAGGCCATGGAAATAATACTTTGTTCAAAATCCTGCAGTTACTCTAGATGCAAGTAGATATATGTCACCCCCCCTTTTTGTTTTCGCTTTTTTTTATTTGTAAGAACTTGAAAAATACCAATTTCAAATACTGACATTTTCCCTTCTTTTTAGCAACTTTATTTTTGATACCTGTTGTTTATCTACATATTGTACCTCGGGTGCTCTGTTTCCATTTCCGTTAAAGAAAAAGAAAATATGCGCATTTTACTAATAAACTTATAAGCATTTTTTGTAAAAAAAAAAAAAAAAAAAAAAAAAAAATCATACACACACGGTTACAAATGTATTAAAAAACAA